GAGACTTCTGTGCTGGAGACACCCTTCTGGGGCCAGACTTGCTTCAGTGGGGCTTTGGTGCTCACTGAGTCTGCCCCCTGAGTGTGTCCCTTATGGACCTGAGGAGTTGCAATCTGGATGGTCCCACTCTGACCACTGGGTACACTGGTACTTGGATCTAAGGAGGTGCTAATTTAGCCTCTGCCTGAGGCTACCCAGCAGGAGCTATGGAGAGATCTGCAGATTCCTCTTCATTGTTTGGGGTTTGGAGGTGCCCAGATGAGCCCCAACTGTGAAGCAATGCAAGCTGCTGTGGAGCCTTGGGCCTTCTTTTGGATGTTCTGGGTCTCTCTGACCCAGCTGCAGTTTGTTAGGTAATTTTCAGATTGCAAAGGGCCAAGCCTTTCAGATGCAAAAGCCTCAATTGCACTGTACGTGCGCGCCCGCACATGGTATTTTGTGGAAGAGCCACACTCAAGGGGCCTCAGTTTGCCGACCACTGCTTTAGAGGACGGGAAGCTGCTCTGGGCATTTGGGCCTTCTTTTGGATGTTCTGGGTCTCTCTGACTCAGCTGCAGTTTGTTAGGTAATTTTAGATCTCAAAGGGCCAGGTCATTCATATGCAAAAGCCTCTGCTAGCAGCTTGGGTGGGGCGGGGTCTCGGGAAGTCAACAGGGCGGAGCAAACAGCTATGGCTGATCCTCAGCCCTGCCCTAAGAGGCCCTGGGTCTCAGTGTCCTGCGGTAATCGCTGCAAGCACCCCTGAGAGAAAGCCACCCTCGAGTTCCACCCGATGACAGACGGTCAAGTTTCTCCCCGTATGAGTCTGGGTCCCCAGAGACTAGCCCAGAACTGGAGTTCAGAGTAGTCGGGAGCTTGAGACTCCCTCTCGATTGAAAAAGACAACTGTGTCCTCAGTTGCCAGCTCTTTCCACGTGCGCCTCCGTACCTCTGCACTTTACTTCCGCACCTCCTCTGAGTCTCAGTGTGCTTTTCTGTTTCCTTCTAGTTGTAGAATTTTTACTCAGCCAGCCTTCCTGTGGTTCTCGATGGTGTTCGTTTTGTCTTTTAGTTGTATTTTTGAAGTGGTTGTGTGAGGCAGCAATTTCCGGTGTTTACCTATGCTGCCATCTTGGTTTCTCCTCAATAGAAATTTTCTAGAATGACTTTTTTAAGAAGATGGTATATAGATGTTTGAGCTGAGCTGAGTCTGAAGGATGATACCCTAGGCATAAGAGAACAGGTACAAAAGTAGTTGATTTTCAGTTACTAGAGATTATTGATGAGCTTTAGGCAAGCTCTCAATGGAATTGTGAAGGTGGAAACATTGCAAACAGTAAGGAATGGGTTGGCAGTGAGATCCTAAGGAATGTGAAAAATAGAAAAAAATATGGTGACTTACAATAATATTTGGGAGTGAAAGGGTAGTAGGGATTACAAGAGAAGTTGGTTGGAAGAGGAAAATAATACAGTAGGGAAGCAGTGTAAGATTGATGTGAAAAATGATCTTGAAGATATAGTAAGGACTGGGGTCAGGAATAAAGAGAAGTTACCCTTTAAGGAAGGCATAGGTGGATAAAGATGGGACGTCAGTAAAGTATGAAATATAATAACCTGTGGAGAAATGTTTGAACCACCACTTGAGAATGGAATAGACTCAGAAGATTTCTAGGCCAAATTGAGGTTAGACAGCATGACTTTTAATGTAATCTGTCAGCACTGTTACAACTTTCTTTATCAATGTTTGGCTACTTAGACTACTTTTTAAAAAAAATATATTTCTTTATTGATTTCAGAGAGAAAGGGAGAAGGAGAGAGAGATAGAAACATCAATGATGAGAGAGAATCATTGATCGGCTGCCTCCTGCACACCCCCCACTGGGGATCGAGCCCGCAACCCAGGCATGTGCCCTTGGCCGGAACCGAACCCGGGACCCCTCAGGCCACAGGCCGACGCTTTATCCACTGAGCCAAGCCGGCTAGGGCATACTTAGACTACTTTTGAAATCATCATTGTTAATGCTTCTTCTTAACTATTGTATGTTTATATAATTTATTTGAAAATAGTATTTATACAGGGTGTCCCAAAAAATGTACTACATACTTTGAATATAATTATAAAGGCAGTATTTAAAAAAATATTTCATTTTCAAAATGTAATAGAATCTACAGACATTTTGTGTATACATTTTTTGGGGGACACCCTATATATGTATATACAATATTACATATATGTAATATTTTACATAAATGGTAGCAAGTGCTTTTTGTAAATGAAGATGGGAAGGTTGTGTACAGAGTGGTTTAGAAGCCAGAGAGTTTAGTTGATAGTTAGGTACATAAGCAGAGTATTATTTTGTATTCTATTACCATGTTAATCTCTTCCTAGAATTTAGCAAAATTTGAACATCTTATTTGTATTTTTATTATTCCCCTCCATCACCCTGGCAAATAAATTTTTGTAAATTTATAGGGACTTTTTCTATTTTGTTTACCATTATATCCCTAGCACCTAAAACAGTGTCTAGTATATAGTAAATGGTCAACAAAACAAAAAATGAAAATAAATTTTAAAAATGTGTGGGGAAATAAAGCCCAAAACTTACAGAAAAAGCAACAACCCAAACTGTAGTAGTGCAGCATTAGAAAGACCAAACTCAGAGAATGACTGAGTGTACTGATAGTACCAGGGAAGTTCTCAGAGATGTTTGAGCTGAACTGAATCTGAAGGATGATACCCTAGGCATTAGAGAACAGCATGTGAAAAGGCATAAAGGTGTCATATGATAGGATGGATTGAGGAAACAAAATTTTATATAGCTGAGAAGAATGCAGATTTGATTGGGACCAGATTCTGGAAAAGCACAGAATCTTCCCTTTTAGCTCCAGCTCACTAATCTGTTTCATTCTTTCATCTGGTATATGGTGTAGACATTTTACAATTTGAATGTGGTGGAACATGAATAATTCTTGATTTGGGAGATGGGAATTCACTCTTTTTCACATTTTCACATTGTGTCTAAAATGTTTTTCTTTTTTTTTTGAATCTGTAGATATCCAGTCATGTTAAAGCGATTGATACAATTTATCAGACCACAGACTTCTCTGGAATTCGTAACATCAGTTTCATGGTGAAACGCATAAGAGTAAGGAGTTTTATTTATTTATTTTTAATTGTTTTTTTGAGTAAGGAGTTTTAATAGTTAAATACGTTAAAAAAAAGAGAAACATCAGGACCATCTACACTAATAAAAGAGAAAAATGGTAATTGGCGTACGACCGATACCCTTCCCATTGGCTAATCAGCGTATCCTTATGCAAATTAACTGTCAGCCAAGATAGCGGCCGGCAGCCAGGCAGCTGGAAGCGAACATGAGGCTTGCTTGCTCCAGTGACTGCAGACTCCAACGTTCCCTGCCTGACTTGCCGGCCTCTGAGCTGGCAGTTTGAAACATTCTAACAAATATAGCCGGCTGGGATCTCAGAGCTGAAGTTATACATTGTTTCGATTATAGAACGGCAAACAAACCAGCAGTGGAAGCCTCAGAGCTAGAGCCAGAGCTAAAGCTGGCCCAGAAGAAAAAAAGAAAAGAAAAAAGGAGTGGTTGGGAGCTTCTCGCCAGTCTTGAAAGCAGTCAA